TGCTGACATATGGTATTCCTTACCATAGGAAGCATTTAGAAAATGTACAAAAAGTCCTGCTGACTGTTTGCCTCTAAAATACTTACATATCATCTGTCTTTCCCCTCACGCTTATTAAGAAATGAAGTAACAAACACAAGTGCAGTCTTTTTTTTTTTCTTGTCAAAAGGTATTTTTCATATTTATTACTTGGAGCAAAGATTAGATCCTTTGTCCAAGTGACTGGTATTTGAAAATACTATAACTTTTTTTTTCCCCCACCAGTACTCACTCTCTGCATTCCTTCTTCATTCACACAAACTCTCTGGAAAAGCTGTTTAAATATTTTGCTCAATGTAAATGCAAAAAATCTGACAGCTCCTAATTGCATACTGTGGCCCATCTCATCCAGGATTTCCGTGGCTTCTTCTTGAATAATATCAGGTGATTCTCCCATCTCTTTTGCTAACTAGAAAGAGAAACAAAACAAAATAGCAGTCAGATGTTGTTCCCTTCTCCCTGCCCACGCACACCGCTCTATGTGCCACGACAATTATGGCAGAACTACTGCAGCAGTCCAGATTTTATTTTATGTGATAGACATGCATCTAATCATACAGAATCTTTTTGGTGTCAGCCAACAAGAGAAAGCCAAGTTAAACCTGTTCAGGGGGGGGGGGGGAAGAGTGTGCAACAATTTCCCCCCCCCCAAACACCCCATCTGAATGTTTTAACTTCTAGCATCCTCAGAGGAGATTTAAATTCAAAGAACATTTCTTATATTACTGATCTGAAGAAGGCTGTGTGCAATTTTGACTAGTAAAATGAAGCTTGTGTTTGCAGGGATATTCACAACGTAAATCTCTGAAGTGCATTTGGGTTAGATTTTAAGACTTGGCTGAAGAACCTCAGCTCTATCATGCTTCAGTTTCTAATGTTACTAATTTATTGGACTATCTTTCAAACTACAGCTGTCATATTTGACAAGGTCAGCAATAATCACCTTTTTTTCCTGCTGTCACACAAAGCTTGTCTGTGTTCAATGCACGTCGTCTTACAGCTCAATCTCTAGACTCACCTGCTTGATAACATATTGAACTTGCTCTGACTGGAGAACAGCACTTTTAATAGCGTTTGGCTTGCAAGGTGAAAGTCCCTTGTAGATCACAGGAGTATAACATTTCATCGCGTATCTCAAGTCACTGGACAATCGTCTTTCCTCCAAGATATCTTCAAACTCATCTCTTTTCTTTGACATGAGCTCTTTCTGCTGGGAACATACAAATAAAGAATGAGACACTGTCTCTAGCCATTCAGTGGTCTGCTTGGCTACAGTACCAAAATAACGGCACGCAATACTTTTGCAATCTTTGGGGTTTATTTTTAGCTTTCTATACTGTTTGCATTCCACACTCTGAGTGCATGAACAAATACTATCCATTTGGAACAGTTCTGCAGAAAGAAACTAAAAAGAAAAGGGGGAAAAAAAAACAAAACAAAACCTCAACCCTTTCCAACTGCAAAGATCCTCAAATCACCCTGTGCCACGTTACTTAATTCTGCCCAAGAGGAAGAAGTTGAAAAAACGCCTGGGCTTTGAAAGCTAAAGTGCCTTGCCTCCAGCCTCTCCATGATTAATAGGTATTAACTAAAACACCTTTCATTCTGACTCTCACAGCTGCATGAAGACAATGCTGTAATGACATTATAAAAACATAATCATTAACACATAAAAAAATAATCCCTGCTACTTTCAGTTGCATCTGGGACTTTAGTGATTTGTGCTGGCTTTCACCAAGCCTGGACATAAGGTACATAAAACACAGGCAGGAACAAACAAAAAACCCCACATTATCAGCCATGTGAAGATCAAAATGCAATATAGTACACACAGAGGTAAAAAGAGAGCACAGCCTCTGAGTAACCAACACTACTGCTAAGCAGGAAAACAAAAGGTACATCAAGAACTAATTGTGGATCTGTCCTGATGCAGAAATATCAGTGACAAAACTCCTCCCCTTAAGTCAGTAGGTATCCCCTGTGCTGGAGAGAGATGTCTCCTATTATCTTCTAGAACACCACAGTTTGTATGAATGACCCCTCAGTCCTTCCAAAACTGAAAATGTATTACTCTAAACTTCAAAACATCAGCAATAGCCACCAGACAAGCAAGGCAACTGGAGCAAGCCTCTGTGAAACACAAATACGAAAGTATTGGTTATGATCAAGCATATTTATTAAAAGAAGATGCTAAAAATAAAAATGTTTATGACTTCCTCTACAGCATCCCTTGAAGGGTAGCACAGGCATCCCTTCCATTCATTCTTCCTCCTCTCCCTATATACAATCTGTGCAGAACCAGTCTGATAATGGAAGGGTAAAACATGTTGTTTCCTGAGCTCTTTCAGTAACCTTTTCTGGTGTTGAGAGGTAAGTCTGACCAGCAAACATACAGAACACCAGGAAGAGATAAGGAAAATGCCCAGCAGTGGCGTCTGGGTTTTCAACCTTGGTGGAGGGAGTCAGGTTTCACTGCCAGCTGACCACAGCCACATCAGCAACACTCTCAAAGCATTTGACATTTAAAGTAAGTAGAGAATAAACATTTAGTTCCTGTCCATTCATCGAGACAAGATAATGTGGCAAAACAAACAAAAAAACCCTCAAAACAGGAATATCTCCACTTAAGAGCCACAAAAACAATCCTTCAAAGCCTCAACTGTATCGAAAGCCAAATTCATTTTTTCAGAGAACACAAATCCTGCTATAATGTTTGACCTTCTCATATTCTTTTCCCCACACAGTATAGTCAAATTTGGATACCATCCTTCTACTACAGTAGGTCATCTAACTTTTCTTCGCACTACTGTAATTTAGAGAATTGTCCCACAGTAACCACAGAATGAACTTTCCAGGGACTTTTAAAAAATCCTATACAAGGTATCAAACCCAGGCTCATATTAATTTAAAACTTTTAGGGTTTTTTTCCTGTATGCTTTAGCATTACAGTTTTCAATCTTTCTTCTTCCACAGCATTCAACTAGTTGATGTTTTGCAAGAGCCAAGTAAGCTAAGAATTGTTAAGAGGACTGGAAATAGTTTGTATTAACCATCTGTTGTCATTGATACCTTATATCAACCCCCTCGATTAAAAATAAAACAGAAAAAAAATCCTTTATGCTCTGTAATAGCAAAAAAGAGAGCTCAGAATAGCATCAGAAATTATTAGTTGTCTCTAAATATACACCTACTTAGATCAGTATGCAACAAGTCATTGCTCAGAAAATATAAGCAACATTTATGTCAATTAGCAAAGTTTAAATCCTGCAATGTGCAACTACATGAAACCCAGACAAAAAAACCCAGCAATCAGCTCGGATATCATCAGCCACATCAGCAAGCACTGTGCTGCTACAGCCATTCCCCAACACAGCTCTGGCAACCAGTTTTGTAAAGGCCGTGGTCAATTGAAAAGTCACCTCTCCGCCACTGCTCCCCATTTGATGTCTCTGGATTTGACATGCTACTGATTTCTCTCTGTGGCAATAGTTATTTTCACACCCCGTACTGAAGTAGTGCTGAGGGAGCCAAAACACACACTTTACCGATCACTTAAGAAGAATGCTGCTTTTGCACATTATGGCCAAACTGTTCCTCCAGATTCAATTGCCTGATTGAAAGCACATTTAGAAAATACGCTGTTGGAAACCCTGACATCAGAAAATTCAGTTACGTGCAGTGTTACTGCAACATTGGTGAAGTACAAAAGCAAACAGCAGGAGCCTCGAACTCCTCTCCTTCCAAATAACCTTTGACAGCAATAAAACAAGGGTGCTCATGATGCACTTGGGATACCAACGTACAGCCAAGGAGACACAGGAGAGGAGTGTGGGAATCTCTGCCAAAACCAGGAGCTGTTTCCCCCTCTCCCCAGTGCAAGCAGAGAGGAGGGGTTAGCACCCCATGCCCAGATCTCCTTGTCTGAGGCTGGCACAGGAGCCACAGAGAAAAAACAAGGTCAGTGAAGTAATTTCCACCATGTAATGCAGGAAAACCCGCTTTGGCCACTCCATCTCTGTGACAATTTACTAGTGCTGAATTCGTTGTCGCTGGCAGGTTCTGGTGCAGCCGTGGGGCAGCCTGGCAAAGCGCCCAGTGCTCAGGCACCCGCTGCCCACCCAGCCTCTCTGCCAGGCCTGGTCCCAGCGCTGCTGGACAAAACCCCTCTAAAGAAGAGTCCCAGATGCTTCCAACCTTTTCTAGGCCAGGTGGCGTTTCACAGCGTATCTGAGGCGAAAACCGGCACTCGGGATCGGGAGCTGTGACTGTCGCGACTGACACGACTAGTACTGTGGAGGCGAGGCGGGCTTGGGGCCCGCAGCGGCTGGGGAAGGTGAGCTTCTGAGGGGAAACGTCCGCTTCCCGCTTGGCCGCGACCTGGCCCCGCCGGGGCCGGGGA